AATTAATTGTAAAATAAATTAATAAAATTATATATATAAGGTACATGCATTGAAGGGAAAATAAAAAATAATAATAATAAAATTAATGATAACGTAAAACAAAAAAAACAAGTTGGGCCTATGGGGAATGGCACGTGATATGTCATTAATGAAGGAAACAACAGAATAATCATAGATTATATTCTTGACAGTAAATTATATAAAGGGAAAAGTCTAATAAAACTCAATGTATTTTAGTGTTTGAAATGATTAAGTTTTTAGACAATTTTTTGGAACAAATAAGTTTTTAGACATTCCAAAAGATGGTAAATAACTTCTTGGACAAGTTTTTGGAACAAATAAGTCATTGGACAATTTAAAACATGTTAAATAACTCATTGGACAATTTTTTGGAACAAATAAGTTATTGGACAATCCAAAACATGTTAAATAACTTCTTGGATTTTTCTAAAACATGTTGGATATATTTTTATGACTTGTACAACTAATTAATGTGATAAAATAGTGTAAAAAGTCCCCAAAAAAACCCAAAGAACATTCATATTTTGAACTATTAAGTCCCTAAATATTTTTTGAACAAAAAAGTATTTAAATCTATAAAATTAAACAAATATAACAAAAAAGTACTTACATTTACAAAAAAAAAATGATTACATTTAAAAAAGATTTTTGATAAAATTTATCTTAATTAAAATTAAAATATATTTAGTCAGTGATTTTTCAAACTAAGAAAAAATAAATATTTTATAAAGAATTATTGATTAAATTTATTTTAATTAAAAATAAAAATATATTATTTTTAATTAAAATAAACTTCACCAATAATCTTTTTAAATCTTTTTTTTAATTTAAAAAATCACATACATTATATATTTTGTTTTTAATTAAAATAAATTTAATAATATTTTTTTTTAAATTTTATATTTTTTTTTGTTTGAAAAATCACTGACATAATATATCTTAATTAAAATAAATTTTATCAAAAATCTTTTTTAAATGTAATTATTTTTTTGTAAATGTAAATATTTTTTTGTTATATTTGTTTAATTCTATAGATCTAAATAGTTTTTGGTTGAAAAAATATTTATGGACTAAATCGTTCAAAATATGAACGTTCATTGGGTTTTTTTCAGACTTTTTTCACTATTTTACCATTTTAACTAGTTGTACAAGTCATAAGAATGTATCCAACATGTTTTAGAAAAGTCTAAGAAGTTATTTAACATGTTTTGGATTGTCCAATGACTTATTTGTTCCAAAAATTGTCCAATGAGTTATTTAACATTTTTTAAATTGTCGAAGGACTTATTTGTTTCAAAAAATTGTTCAATGAGTTATTTAACATGTTTTGGAATGTCCAATGACTTATTTGTTCCAAAAAATTGTCCAATGACTTAATCAATCCAAACACTAAAGTCCATTGGGTTTTTTTTAGACTTTTCCCTTATATAAATTGTGAAAGAATGTTTGGAATTATTTATTTGAAACAATTTATGTTTTTTTAACAAAAGTTCTTATCAATTTATTATAAGTTAGAATGATTTAATTTATTCAAAAACTTCTTATTATCGGTATAAGTTGTTTATCCAAACACTCAAAAATACTTATTATCGGTGTTACATCAGAATAAGTCAATAAGTTATTTTTATAAGCAATCCCAAACACCCCCTAAGCATCTTGAAACTCTCTCTCTCTCTCTCTCTCTCTCTCTCTCTCTCTCTTTTTTCATTGTTGTTTTAATTTCGTATTTTTAATTAAGTCCATTCAAGGAAGAACTGATTAGTTTGTAGTAATCGTGATATCCAATCTCAACCACAAATCAAATGTTAAATTAAGAAATTAATAATTTTGGTAATTTTAATTTAAAATGTTAATTAAGTGCATTTTAGTCATTCTAGATTTCTCCTCCCTCCTCTTTCCTCTCAACTCTCTCCGTCAAACACCTCCTCTCTCCAACGAACATCATATGAACACATGATGCACACTGTGATACGCTTCATAAAAAAAAGGAAAAAACACAGTGCGATACACTTGGTAAAGAAAACATTACCTGATATATTGTATTACACTTCGTAAGACAATAAAAATATATTGTAATACACTTCGTATAACGACAAAAATACACTGTGATACACACTATGATACCAGATCTAGTTGATGAATACAACTGTGATACCACTATGTTACCACTGCGATACCCAATAACTTTTAACAGTAAAAAAATTATATATTTATTTTCTCAATTGTAACTTTATAGAAAGAAACTTCCATAAATTGTTTGATTAATAAGAAAACAATATCAATTTCTTTGATTGATAATCGTTAAGAAAAATATTAATAAAATTACTAATACATCATTTCTTAATTAAGGCAATACAATTAATATAATAAAATGATTGGCTCATATTTGACCGTACAGTTACCACAAACTAATTAATTCTTATTTGATTAGGTCCATATGTATATATATATATATATATATATAGAGAGAGAGAGAGAGAGAGAGAGAGAGGAGCGATCAATTGCAAACCATCCTTATTTGTGAAAACTTTACAAACCAATCTCATTCATTCATTTTATTGATCAATGATCAAGATTAAATAGTGTTATATTAGGAAATTGAAATAAAGTTTAATTTTTAATAAAAAAGGGTAAAATCGGCAAATCACCCATATGAATATGTATTGTATCACTGCCCTCTTCACTGTATGCAACTATTTTACTAAATGAAACTGTATTTCACTGTATGAAACTGTATTTCATCGTATGAAACTGTATTTCTTCACTGTATGCAACTATTTCACTGTATGAAAAACATTATTTCATCACTGTATGAATTTGGTTCACTATATTAATATGTATTTCTTAACTAGATGAACATGTATTTCTTCATTGTATGAATCTGTTTCACAATATTTATTCACATGTGTGAATCTGGTTTACTGTATGAATCTATTTCACATTATGAAGCTGTATTAATCTGTCATCTTCATTGTATGCAACTATTTCACTGTTTCACCGTTTTATATTTAAAAACAATTGATTTACACATTCCGTATAAACGGTTTCTATATTTACGTTTTCATATTTAAAAATAATTAAATCCTTTTCAATATTATATTTAAAAACAATTGATTTACCCCTTTCATATAAACGATTTATATATTTACGTTTCCATATTTAAAAACAATTAAATCATTTCCAATATTAATCATTATGCAGTAAAATGACAATTATACCGTTACTTATTAAAATTAAATAATAAAAAACGGAAATTTCCTATTGGTCAAGAGAGAGAAAGATGAGTTATTATGCAACCCTTTACATTTGTACAACCAATACAACATAATCTCAACCGTCCATTGACTTTGATGGATACGTGATTTAATAAAAGTTTTGATTGTTTTCTAATATAAAGTATAAATTATAATTCATGAACTCTGATTATCTTCCATAAATATTCAAATCATAATAAATGAACTATAATCATTTCTATAAATATCTCAATTGATTGGGTTCTATTGGTTGTATAAATAGAAATAGTTGCATTTAAAATATACCCTCTATATATGTATATGTATATGTATATGTAGGGAAGGGTTCAAACGAGAACCCTTGTGATTTACGAGAATGTGAGAACAACTCAATAACCACATATTGTGATAAAAAATAAAATTAAAAGATTTTTAAAACTAAAATTGAAATTTAAAAAGATTCAGAAAATATTAAAATTAAAAGGATAATAATGGAAATTATATCATAAAATCTTTTAATACGATTACACGATCATGATTATCATTATCTAATAAACGGTTAATCATGTAATATAGATGTGATAATTATACAATTATTACATTATCGCTTATATCAACACGATTTGGTGTGATTTGGGTGTGATATGGGTGTGATAATCATGTGATTATCACACAATTTTCACATTATCGCTTATATCAACACGATTTGGTGTGATAATCATGTGATTATCACACAATTATCACATTATCGCTTATATCAACATGATTTGGTGTGATAATCATGTGATTATCACACAATTATCACAAGGATTCCGCTCGGCTAGGGTTAACTTAAAAAATTGACTACCGATTTAGTGTGATATGGATGTGATAATCATGTGATATCACTATCATAACAACGCACTCGATTTGATCATGGTTTCGATCGGTTAGGATTAGACGATCACACATTTATTACAACGATTACGGGTGAAATCCGCTAAACGATTTGGTGTGATATAGGTGTGATAATCATGTGATATCACTATTATAACAACGCACTCGATTTGATCATGGTTTCGATCGGTTAGGATTAGACGATCACACATTTATCACAAAGATTACGGACGAAATCCACTAAACGATTTGGTGTGATATGGTTGTGATAATCATGTGATTTCACTATTATAATATCACTTGCGCACTCAATTTGATCATGGTTTCGATCGGTTAGAGTTAGACAATCACACATTTATCACACCGATTACTCATGGTTTCGATAGGTTATGGTTACACTTGATTGGTCATGATTTCGATAGGTTATGATTACACAATCACACAATTATCACAAGGGGAGAGAAGAGAGTGGGAACAAACGTGTAGGAAAAAAAGGGGATAATTATGACTAATTAAAATAAAATAAAAATTATAAAAATTACTTAATTACATTACTGTCCTTATTAATTTATTTATATTTAATATAAGTTAATTTATTAATTAAAAAAGTTTGAGGTTATTAAGTTATTTTCGTATTTTCGTAAATCACAGGGGTTTTCGTTTGAACGTCCAGCTCTATATGTATATGTATATGTATATGTATATGTATATGTATATGTATATGTATATGTATATGTATATGTATATGTATGCTTACAAGATAAAAAGTAAAAGTCAATGGTCCCAAGTCGAAGCTAAATCGTATTTTATAATACATGCCTTGTGTTTCCCTCTTCTTTTCCGGAAAAACCAGACACCATCATTCCCAATTCCATCCCCTTCAAATCCCAAAACCATCAACAAATAATGAATTCTATCAACAATTCCTTATCAGGGTTTTTCGAATCTCATCTTTCATTCAATTGATTTCAATTTGGTAGATGCGTCACAAGAAATCTGGCCTTCAGATCGGAGAACAACAACTCTCTTCCGATTTGAAAACCCCTCAATTTCCATTCCACGATAACCCCAATTTCAAGAGCTACAAATTGAGAATCTCCCATTTACGAATCCAGATTCCAACAAATCTCGATGATTTCAAGGAAAGCCCATCAACTTCAAACCCCACCAACAATCCTCCTGAAAACAGGCATCTGCTTATGAATCCACAACGAAAAACACACAACCACCAAGGGGAAACTTGTCATCTCAAGCCTCCGGTTTGTTGTACATCTTCGGAAGCCTTTTTAGCCACCAAAGAAATTGCTTTAAAGCTGTTGAAGTTTACCTACCTGAAGCTCTTCTGGATTAAACTCCCTCCAAGGGTTTTAATCATTCTATGTTTACCTCCAATTTACTTCTTTTCTTTAAACCATTATAGATCTTTGTATCTGTATATACTCTTTGTAATAGCCTTTTGTGGTCTCCTTTTGTCTTCCTTCAATCTCAACAGTCTACATGCCTCTAATATTCCATCGATCCGGCCATACATTGCCCGAAATTTCCCATTCTTGAAGCTTTCTAAATCAGATAAAGCTTCAAAGACAAACCCACCAGTTGTTTGGTCAATTGGGTCAAAGACCCGATTTGAAGAACATACAACTTCAGGGTTCTTGGTGAAGGTTTACAGCAATGGGGATGTTTATGAGGGTGAATTTTATAAAGGTAAGTGTTCTGGAAGTGGTGTATATTACTATAACTTGAATGGGAGATATGAGGGTGATTGGGTTGACCAGAAGTATGATGGGTATGGTGTGGAGACTTGGGCAAAAGGGAGCCGATATCGAGGCCAGTATAGGCAAGGATTGAGGCATGGATATGGGATCTATAGGTTTTACACTGGGGATATGTATGCTGGAGAGTGGTTCAAGGGCCAGTGTCATGGGTGTGGGGTTCATAGTTGCGAAGATGGGAGCAAGTATTGTGGGGAGTTCAAAGGGGGTGTCAAACATGGGCTTGGTCACTACCGTTTCAGGTAAAACCATTTCACCTGATCCCAAGTTTCATACTTGTTTGAATGTTTGTAATATATTAATAACAATCTTTGCCAATGTTGCTGCCTTTTTGTGAATATAACTGTTATCTTTGTTTAATTGTTCATGCTTGAATATTTCCACCATTTTACTAATGATCCTTGAACCATGGATGATACTTGTTTTCAACTCTTTTTTTTCATGAGTTATGCTTGTGGTGGGGTGGTTGCATTTAGGATCATAATTTTACTGTTGTTTCTCTTAATAATAGGGTAAAGAAGGGGGGGAGCTGCCAGAAATGGTTGAAGATTCGTTTGTGTTTTATGAAATGTGTTCCACCATTTAGAACCTTGTATTATGGTTCTTATTGCTGTGTAGTAGAGATCTTAACTATTGGCTTGAACATATTGATGTTTGAGTTCGATGACGGATAACGTTTGTATGTTTTAAAGCCTTGCAAGAGTGGTATGTGGCTTTATCTATGATTCTAATTATTGTTTATAACATATTCATGGTACTTCAAATCTAAACATGTTTGATTGATTGTTTATTTTCTGGTGGTATTTGCAACTTCAGTGGTATGAAGGAAGCACTCTATGTTAGATTTCAACAATCACAAAACACTTTATAGTCTATGTCAAGATGGCATATGGTTGAATGTATTCGATCTTTATGCCTGATTAACTCCACATCTTCTATTGAAGTTATTGAGATTTTTGTAATTACAATGATGGTGCAGAAACGGGGACACGTATGCTGGAGAGTATTTTGCAGACAAAATGCATGGTTTTGGTGTATACCATTTTGCAAATGGGCATCGATATGAGGGTGCTTGGCATGAAGGAAGAAGACAAGGTGTTGGTTCATATACGTTCAGAAATGGAGACACTCAATCAGGCCACTGGGAAAATGGTGTTCTTGGAGTTTCAGCCTCTGAGGATGCATTTCTTCCAGAATCTTCTACTTCAGTTTCGCAAGCCAGAGTTCTTAAAGCAGTCCAGGTACTTAAAATTCCATGCCAACTTTAGTATTCGTTATATGCACATACATATAATACCCCTGCTGAACCTGCCATTCATTTTCACTACTCGGTCTATGTGGTACAACAAACTACTCCTCCCTTTATCCCAAAAATAAAATATATCTTTGATTACATGTAGTTTAATGGACCTGTTTTAAGCTTGGTCAAATATCTAAAATACTCTTCAATAGTGACAAAGTTAGGGAATCTTACAAATAGACAAAGAATTAACTTTGCGAAAAGGGAAGTTGTATTTATATTTTGGGAGAAAGAGTATTAAACCAAACCAAACGAGCCCAGTATTATCCTACATGGAGGTGGGGTATGGAATTGGATGTACGTAGACCTGACTTCTACCCTAAAGAATAGAGCGCCTGTTCCATGAAGACCCCTGGATGTGCTAGTTATAATTTCTTTCTACTTGGATAACCTGATTCCGCAATGGCCATTTCTATCCATAATATATTCAAAGGATCATTAACATCCAGGGGTCTTCATGGAACAGGCGCTCTATTCTTTAGGATAGAAGTCAGGTCTACGTACATCCAATCCCATACCCCATCTCCATGTAGGATAATACCGGGCTCGTTTGGTTTGGTTTGGTTTGGTTTAATACTCTTGACATGACTTTTCAAGTTTCATCATCATCTTGTTTGATGGTTCCTAAACCTACATTGTTTCCCCAGGACGCAAGATATATAGCTGAGAAAGCAGTGGGTGTGGCGGAGGTGGACGAGAGGGTGAACAGAGCCATCACAGCCGCTAACAGAGCAGCCAATGCAGCAAGAGTGGCAGCAGTTAAAGCCGTCCAAAACCAAGTTCAACACCATGATGAAACTGGTGATCTCTCACTGCCCATCATCTGAAGGGAAAGCGGTATCGTCTGATTCCCACAAAGATAAAAAGTGTTGAATGCAAATAAACTGCATTTATTTCAACCTTTTCTGGGAATTTTTTCACTTTAACTGCCTCTTCTTCTTCCTCAAAGTAATGGTGGTTAATGATGATTGAAGATAGGAGGAGCACATAGGATCCTTATAAATAACTATGTTTTTATATGAATGACAAGTGCACTGAACTGAAGTGTTCTTTGTATTTTAGTAGAGTATATGCATATTTACTGCATAGCCACCAAGCTTCATGAGAACTGGCCTGCTTTTTTTCTTGTGGCCTGTAAAATGTTGTCTTTATTGGAAAAATGAATCATCATAGCTAGATTTGTATATTGGCTTGGCTTTGCTTTGCTTTGCTTTGGCTTCTATGAGTTTATGATGGCTATGCGAGCCGACTAATCTTAGGGCGACCACCTGCATTGCAGATAGCCCGGAGTGACCGCATTTGAACCTCCGTCGTCACAAGAGGATTTTTATTCCTTCTTGGATTTGAACCTAGGACCTCCGGGTACTTTTGACCTTTGGCAAACTTGCATGTAGCTTTGACTAATTTTGGGAAGATAACAGTCAAGAAAGTCTTTTTGTCGCCGAGTAGACTCGAACTGATGACCCATGAAAAATAGCTCGATGGTTTAGCTTTTATTTATCAATTGAGGTCACCCCGAACATCTTTATGTAAAAAGGGAAGTTTGCCTAGAAAGGCAAGTCAAATATGGATATAAGATTACATGAATAGTAGTAGTAAGGTCCAATGAAGGATGTTGAAACTTGAAATGATGGAAAGATGAAAACATCTCACATTTTTTTTAATTAACCTGGATATCCAACCCGCTATGCAAGCCGACATCTGTTTTGCAGATAGTCCGGGGTCACCACATTTGAACCTCCGTGGCCTCAAGGGGATTTTTATTTCTCCTTGGATAAACATCTCACATTTGCATGTGTCTATAATTGGACTAATTAATTTATTGAGGATTTAAATTTTGTGCATTTTATGATATAATTATGATGGTAACATTGTAGCTGTATTATGTTTTATATGGTTAAAAATAATTCACTTCTTGACGAAATATAACATGAGGGCCTGTAATGAAACACGAAAAAGAAACAAGAAATCAATACCCTTTGTTTGGTACATTTTAAACCAGGTAAATTGCAGTAAATTGTAACGTATTTTAATCTGATTTATATTTTCACTAACGTATTTTGGAAACTCTCATTTTGATACTTGAGATTGAATGTTTTTCTTGACATGACATTATTTATTTATATTTTAAACCGCACCTAAGAAAATAAATTCCACATTGTCATTTTTTAAATTCTAAAATGTATCACAATTTTCTTAAAAACTAAGGAATCGTTTACCAAATGCTTACTTGGGTAAACGTTTACCAAGTTATATTACCTTACCGGATAAATATGGTAAGGACCAAAAATCTTACCCGGTAAAAACGAGGCAAGGACTGAAAGTCTTACCCTGTAAGTGAGGACAATGATTCTTACCATGGTCAGCTTTTACCGGGTAAATTGTTGCATAGAAAGTCATTTTTGTTGACTAAAATCTTATCCAGTAAGTAGATAATAATATTGAATTTTACTGGTAAGTACTTACCAGGTAAATGTTTGGTAAACGGCCCCTAAGAAAATCATGTTAACGTATTTTTTTAAAAACAGTAAAATTTGTAATCCTTTTTTCTTTATTTTTTTGATGACTGTAAAACTTTTCAAATTATTTAAATGATTGTAATTCTCGTAAAAAATTTGGGGCACATATTTATTAACAGATAAAAATTTAGAATTTTTTTTAAACAAACGGTAAATATTCAAAAATTTACAAACAAAATACGGTTGGTAGAAGGGATGAAACGATTTTGTTCAAATATAAAGCATGTTCTGTGTTTAATCCCAGACCTCTTGCTAGTCTCATCTTCTTAATGAGCCAAAAAATGCTCTCTCACATTGATGTCCTTGAGGCAAATTCTGTGTGGAACTTGTTAAGGTTGTCAGTAATTAATTTTTTTCCCCAAATAAACAAAAAATGGGTAATAGTTAAATGTTTTACAAAAATGCTTTAACACTATTATCTTCACTGAGCCAAAAAGGGGCAATATAGTATTATACTAATGAAGTTTTAGATGTAATAACACAGGTGTTATTATGATAAATGGGTTCCGGTCATATAAATTGGGGTGATTTTTGAAAGTTTATTGGTAAGTAAATCATTTTAAAATATCTGTGTTTTGTGATTACCTGTTTAATTGCTTATTATATTTCTACCGCCTTAAATATTTTATGCATTAGATATTTATTATATCTCATCAATGCGTGTGAAAATATGAGTTTTAAAATAGTAAAACTCCATCGCCTATGTTTTGATAGCATAAAAGTGAGAAAATAAGCCTTATCTTATTTACCTATTTTGTTTTGAGAGAAAAAGAAAAAGAGAAAAAAGTTGTTGTGTGTGTGTGATCTTGTGTGAAACTATTTGGAGTTGATTATGTGATCATATTTGGAAAATGTTGCTGTGAGATTCATCCTTATATACATATAAGGTGAATTTTTCGTTATTAAATTTTCTATGTATAGTATTTGAAATACTTGAACTGTTTGGTGTTTATGTGGAAGAAAGGTAAACTGTTTTTGAAGTTGTTTTGAGTTGAGAAAGATAAATTGTTCTTGAAAGTTGTTTTGAGTTGATATTGAAATTGGGTTTAAAACTGTGAAAGTTCTTGATATAAAATTTCTGTGATGAAACTTATTTGAGGCCATTCTTGGCAAAAATGACATTTGATTACGTTTTATAAGGGAAAAAGGATGACATATCAAGGAGAAGTGTACCATGGGATAAGGGTGACATATCAAGGAGATGTGTACCATGGGATAAGAGTGACATATCAAAGAGATGTGTACCATGGGATAAGAGTGACATATCAAGGAGAGTTGTACCATAAGATAAGGGTGACATATCAAGGAGAGTTGTACCATAGGATAAGGGTGACAATTGTGAAATCTGAGTTTTGATCATAACTCTTGTTATTGCATCCATGAGATGCAATGATGTGAAGATTTGGAATTATTGCTTTTATTTATAGATAACAATGATGTTGTGGAGAGAAGGAAAATGGCTTATAGCCAAAGGCTTTAATTGCATGTGTTTTGAATAAACAATGTTTTTAGGATATTGGATATTACAATTCAAATTGTTCAAAAAGGTAAATGTTTAATGAGAATCCAGAGAGGCTCTGGTTGGTCTTTTTGTCTAACTAGACAGCCTCTGGTTGTGATGTGAAATCTAAATTGTTCAAATATTTGTTTCATTTGTAAAATTAATGAATAAGTTGATTTCCTAAAAATTTTCATTAATGAAATCATGTTATCCAGTTTTTAAAATGTTTCAATACGAAACTAATTTTATTTTGGTTATGAATCATGAAACTAATTCACTAATGAAATCATATTATTCAATTTTCAAAATGTTTCATTGACTAAACTATATTTAGTTCCATTAATAAAATCAATTTCATTTTGATTAGAAACCATGAAACCAATTTCACTAATGAGATCATGTTATTCAGTTTTCAAAATGTCTCATTCATGAAACCAATTTCCTGTTGGTTAGGAACCATGAAACCAATTTCATTAATATAAAATCATGTTATTCAGTTTTTAAAATGTTTCATTCATGAAACCAATTTCATTTTGGTTAGGAACCATAAAACCAATTTCACTAATGAAATCATATTATTTAATTTTCAAAAAAAATCATCGACTGAACCATATTTAGTTTCATTAAGAAAACCAATTTCACTTTAGTTAGGAACCATGAAACTCATTTCACTAATGAAATCATGTCATCCACTTTTCAAAATATTTCATTAACTGAACCATCTTCAGTTTCATTCATGAAACCAATTTCACTACTAAATCAAACTCATTAATACGACAAGATTATTTAGGAACTATCACGAAAATTGACTATTATAACCTTATGTCGTGTTTCTTTTCAAACTGCATATGTAAATGAGTTGAAATGAAAATACCCTTCACCCCAATATAAATCGATTGCAAAATACCACCATTCAGACCTCACATTCTCATACTTATTTTAACCAGAAAAGTGATTCAAGACATAACCAGGCTTAATGTAAATGTATGCACCACATGGTTCAACACAAAACGGCATTATGGTCAAAAGATTTCAGCATACTACAAGCACAACCATATAAAGATCACAGGACAGGAAAAACAACTACTTCATGTCAGCAAAGTTTAAAAACAACATTTGAAAACAGATACTGATTTCTATCCTCAATAATTCGACTAATAAACTCTCTAATACAAAAATGACAACATGAAGCTTAAATCAAAAACTTGGACATGAACGCCTATGATTACCAATGTGCACTTAACTCTCGGTTTGCTCCCTCAGCCTTCGAATCGTGCTCCTCACAGTCACAGCACTAGCAGTGCTATTACATAACAAAAAAAGCAAAAGATGTCATTACTGAAAACCAAACCAAACCAAAACAGTAAATTCCACAAATAGTAGGCGAGGGTTTCTAATCCACCCCCATGAATCAGCAAGACACAGCCAAAACCCAGTAAATCCCACACGGAATAGGGTCTAGGGAGGGTACACAAACTTACCTCTCCACCCCTATGAGTAAGAGTCCGTTTCCATGAATCAGTAAAGCATAGCCTTGTAATCTAAATGTAATAAAGTTAGGCGTAAGAAGAACCATTACTTTAATGTGTATGCACCACCGGCTTTGACCTTGCCACAGTCCTTGCAACCCCAAATTCCGACAGCCTTTCTCTTCACTGCATACTGTAAATTTTGGAGGTGTAACATATTTAGAAATAGGATTTGAAGGTGTTGTTAAAGAAACCAGCTGTTGGATCAAATCAAGGTCATTCATGCATTGGAGATGTAAAAAGAGGGTAATTAATGTGTACGAGGGTGTAATTCATTTAGCACGCAGATGGGTTCATTTCGAATCACAAATAAAATTGAGACAGAAATTATATGTACCTTCCCACAGAATTCACAGAAATATTTGCTATGTTGGCTGACCTCCATTTTCTTTATCTGCTTTCGCAGACTAGCACCATAACGAGTACCTAGACAAGGTTGAATGTTTACATCAATTAAACATACCAAACTAAACCAACATATTCCCATATGCATTCTTAATAGCATGGGGAAATCCCAAAATTTACATGGTTAAAAATACGAAAATTGCCATTTGGTGCATCTTAGCCTTGTGATAAGACAGGAACAAGACAATATATAAAGCTACATTTTCAGAATTCCAAAAAAAATTAATGGTTATTTTAATCCATTCAAAAAGTGATTGCAGAAATGGAAATACTACCAGAAGTACAATGACTTGAGATTTGATAAAAAGGGGAAACACTTACCATACTTTCCAACAATACCAGCCTTCTTTGTCCTCTTTGTCTGGAATTCAAATTTGGGGGAGAAAAATTAGCATTCAGATAATGCACTAGCACAAACGGTTATACTCATAGAAAAATGAAATGCAAATTAAGCAAGAGCAAAATACATAGAATGGAACATTTTACAAAAGTTATTATTTTTTATAGCATATCTAGTACTAGACATTCAAATCTTGCTTTAGTTCAATATGATGTGGTCTCTCATTTGTGCCATTATGTTAGATTATACTCTAGTTTCATAAGCATTCCAACTTGTATTAGAATATGCAGATAGCCAGATAGGTTTACTCTAGTTTCATAAGCATTCATATTTATTTTAGAATATGTGGATAGCCCGATAGATTGAAATTGATGCTCGAATAACCAGTGTTCTAAAACTCTTGCCTCGACAGCCACTGTGACTCAAGACCATGTTAGGCATGTAGGATGCCATGGCACAGTGTGCGGTTACTGTAATACAATATTTGATTTTTCATACCTTTTTAGTCTTTAATATATAACCTAATTTAAGTTGTTTAATATCATTGACTCATTAAGGAACGACAGAAACATGTGTTTGTATATATAATTATATATATATATATATATATATGTGTGTGTGTGTGTGTGTGTGTGATATACAAATTTGCAGCCATAAGTGACACTTTGAGAAAAGCTATGGTCTCAGGTGGCTTATAAAATCTCATTTAAGGTTATACACCTAAGTGCCTCTGAGTTTGTTGTTTTTACACGAAATCAGAGCAACATGAGAGTTCTATGTATCCCTTTGAGATTAACCCATCCTCCTTTATTTCCAAACGAAGGATTAGGGTTTAACAAATCAAACAGTGATTATAGGAATTTTACGATCGTATCAAGATCTGTTGATGCTTCCTAACAATTACACATGTATGCAATAAACTACAAACCCTTAAAATCTACCAAAAATACATCCATCATATACAAACTCAGTAGTGATTCAAGAATCAATGTAAATCTATCTGCATATCCTAAACAAACATGAATGCTTATGAAATTAGGGTATAATCTACAAATAAAATGCCATATAAAATTGGACGAAAGCAAGATTCAAATATCTAGAACTAGAAACAATCATAAGAGAGACGGAATACCATTTTGCAGAATCGGAGCAGCAAAGCGAAGAGTTGTAGAGAAGAAGAGCGCGGCGGCCTTCACGGTATCGGTGACCCGCAACCCTAATTTGTTTTCAGTATTTATAGAGAGAGGATTTGGACTCGGGCTTTTCTTTAATGTTGAGTAAACTACAATTTTAGTCCTTGTTATTTGTAAAAATTTGCTAATTTCGTCCCTGTATTTTTTAAATTGCATTTTTCATATATATGGTTAATAATTCAATTTATTTTCATGTGTTCTGCCGTTTATTTATTTATTTATTTTTCATATTTAAAAGTAAGAACTTGCATGTTAGTAGTTTAATAAGTTTAATGGAACTTACAGCTTATTTGATCATCTATAGAATTGTTTGGTGATGGCTTAATGATATAGAAAATGATTTATTGAGAAAGCTTTATGCAGAAAGTCAAGTTTCTTTCAATATATCGAGACATATTTCGATTTTAATGTCTTGTTTTATTATTTATCTATGTTGATATAATACGGTTTTGTATGATTTTGAGAAAAAGATAGTGTTTTTATATTTGAATAAAATTTTAAAAAAAAAAGTATATTGATATTAGTCCAAATTAACTATTTAAAAGTTATTATATTGTGTAATTTCTTTAATTCAAATTTGTTATTATAATTAAATTTTACGTAACGAAGTAATTTAATTTAGGTTTAATAATACAATTATTTATAAATATAATAATTAAATATTTTGTTAGTTATCAATAATTATCCTAATTATATTTTAGATTTTTTATATTTAAAACGAAATTTTTATCTTGTAATTTATTATGTTTATATGTAGTTAGTTACACGAATTCATACATTGAGCTTTAACAAGTTATACTTATGCACAATTTATTTGTAATCTTGAATTTTAAATAATATGCATCAATGAACATCTCTTATTGGTTGAAAAAATAATAAAAAAACATCTCTCATTGGCATTCATTTTGTAAAAGTTCTCCAAGTTTACACTTTTTCTTTTATCTTCTTTATTTTTAACCAGTTTTGGAAAATCTATTGGGGTTTGAAATCAGCCAAAAACCCAAAAATTCTCATTTTTTTATATTGAAAAATTTGTTAGAGATGCTCTTAGGCTAAAGACAAAAACAACATTGGATTTCAAATAAGAGATGGAAATTGTAATTTCAAAAACATAAAAACAAAGGTCATAATTTTTAATAAACTACAACAACTAAAATTGTAGTTTACTGTTAACGTGTTTATCCAATCAGGGACTCGAGACGTTATGTATATTGACGGGTCAAATTGCTTCGGGACGGTTACAGTTGTCATAAATATGAGACGTAGGACAAACTTTGATATTGTAGCCATATAACTGTACAATAAAGCAAAATGTCAAACAAAAATAAAGTATTGATGTAATATGGTATTATAAAACTCAAAACTCATGGAATATTGGATCATATTGTAATTGAACGTCTGTATCTGTTTGTTTTATGTAGTTCTAAAAAAATGTATGCATTTAATAATAAGTTATAAAGTTGAATTATAAAAAGATTTAGAAAACATTGACAACTAAGCACTTATTTGGTAAGTGTTTACCGGATAAATTTTCTCATCGGATGAACATGAGAAGTGCCAAGGATCTTACCGGGTAAGAGCGACGAGAATGATGAAGAGTCTTACTCGGTAAGTGAGGATGACGACTCTTACCCAGGTAAACGCTTACCCAGTAAATTGTTGTATTCTATATGTTTTGATGTACTAAAATCTTATGCATCAAAATAAATTATATTGTCGACTCCTATCGATAAACGCTTATTGGGTAAACGGCCCCTAACTATCCAAGCGCTCCCTTTGTACACCTTCATCTTCAAATTCCAATCCCACCACCCAACCACTTTCTCTCCTTTCCATTTGCTTTTGCAACACCAAAACCTCAAAGAAAACCCTAAATCACAAATCAACAAAGGTTTATGAAAATCAAATCATACATGTTATAAAAGGAATATATTTGATGAACTACATCCATTTGATATGGTTTCAAAATAGTAACATCCGAACCTTAAGCTTTAAGTTTCGGATGTAACTCGTTCATCGGATTCTCTTGTATAAATTGTGAAGTAAACTCTTTTGTCTTTAAGAATTAACCGTCTGACCAAGGAAATTCAAAAGACTTTCTTATTGGTCACTTAAAGCCTAAAGATTCAAGTGTCCACAATTTGTACCAAGTATTCTTATATTTGATGAAGCATCTTCATAATATTTTGTTGGGACTGAATTTCAGTATTAAATTGTATTCGTCTTGAAAGTTTACTATTATCTATAATTGTATAGATATCGTGTTTGACTTTGTATGTGTTGTTTGAATTTGACTAGAAGGGTTCCTAGTTTGACCCTATATATAGTTTTGTCTTTAGTGTAATTGGTAGGAGAGCTTCATTGTAAACAATACGTATATTTGAGAGTAATATAGAAGTGTTGACTTGTTGACTTTTCCTCTCAATGTGTTCTTGAAGATTAACTGATTCTGCCATGGATTCCATGAAGATTATAGAAGATTGATCATATTGTGGACTCACATATTTCTATAGTTGGAAATATGATATATAACTTATATTTCGGAATAGTAAAAGATATAGTTTTTACTTGTAGAAGTTTTGTAACTATGTGTAATGATCCAAAAACAAAATGCCTTCTACAAATCACAGACTAGCTGAAATGTGGTAAAGATCGTCATCAAAGCGGATTGATTTAATTGTCATCTACTAAAAAAGAAGATCAATAAAAGATAAAATCAACTAGTAGTCTGATAAATACTACTACTAGCAAGCGAATTTTTGGAGTACAAATTTGTGCAACAAGTTTGACTCACAAACTATCTGACATCTATCTTGGTATGAGAACATGCAAAACATGTCAACCAAAGTAAGTTTCAAAAAAACTATTTTATTAGTGTCATACTTCTTTTATTGTTCTTTCGGCATACAAAAAGATGAGATATATTAACAAGTGTCTACATCAACCTCAAAGGTAAAAATGAAGAATACAAACATGAAAATGAATCAAAAAATCAAATGAAGACATACGTTAAAGTTGGACAGTAGCATTTAATGCAATAGTGGCTATAAAATGTCACAATTGCCATTCATTGTTACTCACCCGTTTTGAAGAAACTTATTTGTGATAGTTTCTTAGGCAAAATCGACGTTAACATCTGAAGAACTTCCCTAGTCATTCGGATCTGAAAGAGTACTTCCTTTCTCCACTTTTTCAGTGTTACCAAATTTGTCAATTGTTACAAAATTTAGCAACTTTTTTAATTATATGTAAATAGAATGAAGCTAATAGTAATTGTTCTAATGTATGTATAGTTTTAGTTTTAAAAAGTTACTAAAATATGTAGCAATAGACATTTTCTTGAAAAATAATGTTAGACGAAACGTAATATCAAATTTAAAAAGGTTTGGATCGAAGGCATATGCTGGTATGCGAAGGTCACAGATTTAGTTCAAGCCTGCCTTGGAGTAAGCAAGCGGCCCTTTCGTGACTCAAACTATCAGTACGCTTTTCGGCTCACAACGATCAAACAGGCGGATGCTCTATATGAACTTGCAATGCTGACCCTTCGCCTTCAGTTAAAAGTACATCAAAATCTCAAACATTGTGAAATATATAACGATTAATAATATGTAATTTACTTAATACAATATATTAATATAATAAACATATAAAAGAAAAGAATGGATGCAAAATAAATTATTAAATAATTATAAGGTTATAAAATGTAAATTTAAAAAAAATAGTTATAATATTTAAAATACAAAAAAATAAAGAGAAAAAAGAGAGTATAAAAGTTAATTACAAAATTGGTCCTATTTTTTTATTAACCAGGATATCCAACCTGTTATGCGAACCGATTAATCTTAGGATAATCATCTGTTTTATGGGTAGCCTGGGGTTATCGTATTTGAGCCTCCGTGGTCACAAGGAGATTTTTATTCTTCATTGGATTTGAACCTGAAACTTCAGGTACTTTGACCTTTAGAATCCAAGCTCAAACCAATCAGATATCATATTTGGTTAAACTTTTAATTTGGGTAATAGACAAAAGAACACGAACAAATGACAAAAGTACCCCTTATTTCACTCTCTACAACATCTCATACGTAGGTGGCATTTTCCTGTTACAATCTCTCGTAGAGACACTGATCAACACCATGACACCATCGTTAAAGATTTCCTTTGGATCCATGATAAATTCCACATGCATTGCTCCGATCTGAACGCTTACAGCACAAATCGAAGAATTCGAAAATGGAGATCAGCGATTTTGATTCAATATGATTCAGGTTGATAGAAATCTAGTTCTAAAATATGTGCTTGTAAGATATTCTGATTAGATTTGAGAAAATTGTGCATGTTTTTGATTTAATAATGATATGAATCGAGGAACGTAGCCGACATTTCTGTCTTAATCATGATTCATGTCTGTGATATGATAGGAAAGAAAGTAGAGATATCTACGTTTGTTTGAATTGATGTACATAGTTTGAGATAAGGATGGCGTCTTCGATATCTTCCATAAGCGAGGACCTTGGAGAGCTTGACGGACGGATTACTGACGTATTTCGAGCTCTCTCGTAAGCATTTTCTCTTTTCTTAATTTGATTTTGGTCAAAATATCTGGAGAATTGTCGATTTTTGCTTGAATGTAGGTATGCATTTAGATGCACACGGTCATGAACTTATCCGGTTGAGCTGTAAGCTTAAAACAGAATGTTAAGGACACATAACCAAGGACGTTTATTAAATATTTCAAGAATACATTAAGATCCTAATGTAATGAACAGTCCTAGAGACCATTTGTGGTGTTTCGTAGAATGTTATTGATCCTTCTTCTTGGAAAGTACTTTGTCTAGGTGCATACCAGGGGTCTATACACCTGTGTGGCATATCAGAGTCAAAAAGGTTGGGTGTGACGATATGCTGTAGTAAGTATTGGACGTCAGAGTTTCACAAGTTAATTCTTGTTCACCAAATCGAAGTTTAAAATGTGCTGTATAGACTATATATTAGCTTAAAACCAATAGATTGATACGTTCCCCATAAAAAATTGCAGTTTTTTTGGATTAGAATGTGCCATAAGAATTACAATATCTTTTCTTCGTGGAAGTGATGGTAATTATGTAAATAATGTATTTAGGATTATGTGATTCGATTTGTTTCCTTTCATGTATATGATAGGTTTCCTTTGTAAGCTCTTTGTAACTGTTATCAGTTTTCGGTGAATAGAATGGAGAGGGCAAGGGATTACAGCCTCTTACAGGAAGATTCTAAGTTATATATGTTATTTTCCCTTTAATTAATTGCGGTTCATTTTGGTCAAAAAGATTAGCTGCTACTCCACTACTGTTTGTATTAATTCGCTTGAGGAGTCAAAACGCTACAATTGTTGTGGGACAAGAGTATTGGTATAGGATGATTGTGCTCATGCTGGTTACTAATTCCCAAAATAAGGTACACTGAAGTAGTTTTCAGACTAACAATTGAAACTGTTTGAACTAGTTCTTTTTGCCCAACTCATATACCTGTTAAGGCTTTTGAACAGAATGGCTATTGGTTTGAGACTCCATGTTGATATGGGTGTTGATGTATTTTCTTTGCAGCTGCTTTCTTTCAAGAACAATTAAAATAGCTTGATTCCTCTAATCAATGCATAAAGCTATATTGATATAAGTATGTAAGACAACACCAACCATGAAAGTTGTGTTTCCTGAAATGTAAGCACTAAGAAAGACAAACTTAGGAACCATATGATGGTCAAGTTGACCACCAAAGTCAAACGGTTATCTATTTGTATTTTATAGTGGAGTGACTAACTATTCAAAATCTAATTTTGAGCAGAAATGGATTTCAAAAGCTGGAGAAGATCAAAGACTCAGGTAGGCAGAGTAGGCAGTTGGAGGAGCTTACCGATAAGATGCGTGAATGCAAGAGGTAACTCAGATCATGTATTGATTTAAAAGCATTACTACAGCTATGTGAAAATGAAAGATTCTTGCTGGTTCTTGTGGTGGTTCTTTGATAGGTTAATCTCAAGTACAATGTTTATTACTACAGGCTTATTAAAGAGTTCGAGAGAGAAGTTAAAGATTTAGACTATACAAGCATTCCTCATGCTAGCAGGATGCTGAATGAGAGAAAGCAATCAATGGTATAGTATCGTGTTCGTTTCTATCGTGCCCTCTCCTATTGCGGATATAGGAAAGTCGTTACTTTTATGTTATTTGTATCCAGGTCAAGGAGTTGAATTCTTATGTTGAACTGAAAAAGAAGTAAGTTTTTCAGACTTCCAACTCTCTCTCTTTAGCTCATCAAATCTCATATATTTAGTATCATGTGATATATCTCTTCATCATCATCTTGATTTAGTATTTATTTTCAGTTATCTGTTTGACAAGCAATTTTTCTCTAATGCATCTTTGATTCATTTATTCGTTTGTTGGATGATCTAGATATGCAAGCAACATTGAAAGAAAAAGAGTTGGGCATATTGAGGGGACTGAAGAAGTATCTGCAGAAGATAATGGCTTGCTAGCCTCATGTAAGTATACAATGCAACATCTTTGTAACTTTGAAATTGGGATTTTCCAGCAATATTTGATATTTTCCTACACCAAACAAAGTTCATTTAGAATTTTACAGACTACTTTCTATGTGTTCATTAATGGAGCAAATATACATTTGTAGCTATGACAAACCAGGAACTAGTGGGCCATGGTAATCAAATGATGGATGAGACCGATCAAGCCATAGAACGATCGAAGAAGGTTGGTATCTTATGGCAACTTCACCTCCTTTCCTGCAGCCACAATGAAAACTGGAGAACAAAGGCTAGCACCACCAGTCACATTTTAGGGTGTACATAATGAAATTACTAGATTTAGATAACAAATGCACAAGAAATACTGAAATTTAACAAAAGGATAATTAGGAATAAGAGGGGATTATGAATTTCTGATCAGAAAATAACAGCTTCTTAGAAAATCCAAGGAGACATTGTGATTGGATACATGTATAGAAATTGACTTTTGTATCTTGACATCTAGAAAAATTTTGTTCTTCGACTTGGAAGGGTTAAGCATCATTTTGAGTTGAAACCACTCACTACAAGGAAATAGGTTTATAGGTCGCCAAAATTGTGTACAAATCGCTTCATAAGACTTGGGTTTGTAGGACCGAACACAATTATGCATCCTATGCTCTTAACAAGTTTTTAGGACATTGTTCAAAGAAAGTGTTTTGTTAACTTTTTCTATGAACAATTGTTTTTATAAGACACTTTTTTCAGATAATGCCATATAAAAAAAATTAATATGACAAACATCTTATAAACTTATTGTAACACACACTTAGACATTTTTGGCGCCTATAAACTCGATTTCTAAGGACCTATGTTCTCCATCCAATCCATGGAAAGTTTTATATGTTAAAACTTTGACCTGGACAACTGAGCTATAATAGAAGGAATTCATATTCTTAATTTCATCAGTTACACAAAAACTTTCAACTTGATGTATGCTTAATTTAGCATTGTTTAACAGGTTGTCCACGACACAGTAAATGTCGGAAGTCAGACCGCAGCAACACTCAAAGGACAGGTGTGTTATCGGACATGACTGATGCACGTTAACTCCTTCCATTTTCTTCATCACGTAGACTAATCGTTATCAGTTTCTGGTGATTGAATTATTTCCAGACAGAACAAATGAACAGAATCATCGATGATCTTGATTCGATCCATTTTTCAATCAAGAAGGCTTCCAGATTGGTGAAGGAACTTGGCAAGCAGGTCTGTCTCTAATTTACTCATAACCCCATTTCTTAAAATTCCATCTTTTTACATTTTGTTGCTCATTTGGACTTCTTACACAGATTGCAACCGATCGCTGTATTATGTCCATGCTCTTTCTTATTGTGATTGGTGTCATAGCGATCATTATTGTGAAGGTACGTTTGAGCTATAACAAATATTATATAAACTTGAGAATGGCTCAACCGGTAAGACCTCATGTTTGCTCCCAATAAGGTAACGGTTGAAGTTCCTTCACTAAGATTTATCTTGCTGTTAAATGTCACTTATGTTATATGTATAATATATAGGAGAAGGATCGTGTATGAGAAGAAAAGTTATGATGAGAAGCGTGATAAAATATCTGAATCTTTGGTCACTTTTAATTCCATGTCCACCTATGAATTGTATTTTAGAAAGAAATTTATCTGGTGCATCTCAGTGCACCTTATTAGTGTTGACATTCAATTATGATTGATCCATGGGTGAAGACCAACTTCCCTTTTTATCGAACTCAACCTTACACACACACACACACACACACACACACACACACATATATATATATATATATATATATATATATAGGGTTGGGGTCCGGTGAGAATGAAAGTCATGGTGAGAAGAGATCTTCACCCTTGATCGATCCTAATTGAAGAATGTGTGAGTTTATTTGTTACATTTGCCGTATATAAAATTATATACTTATAAAAACACTAAAGCAACACTAATGAGATATAACAGATCAATTCTCTTCTAAAACGCAATTCATGAGATGAGGGTGAGATTAAAGTGATCAAGGGTCCAAATCATTTTTACACTTCTTACCTCTTATTCTCACCTAATATTTCGTGTGTATATATATATATATCAATAAAAAAAATTAAATTTTAAAGTTTGAATTTTAATGAGGCCTAGTGAACAATGATGAAAGGGGCATTTTGGGAAGAAAAAATACACTTATCAAGGGTATTCTAGTAAATTGAATTCATTTGTAACCCCAAACAATTAATGGGGAGTTACAAACATTCAAATCCCAAAAAATATGCATTCATATTATTTTATTTTATTTTACTATTGATCTTTCATGTTCATTCTTGTATGAATTCCTAAATCGCATAAGAAACACGATAGTAACAATTTTCAGTATTGATCAATTTGAACACAAATGAACCGTGAACACAAATGAACCGTGAACACAATTTGAACAAAAATGAACAACCGTGAACACAATTTGAACACAAATGAACCGTGAACACAATTTGAACACAAATGAACCGTGAACACGATATGAACACAAATGAACACGATATGTGCAATTTTTGGCCCATATATTCACATACACGTCCCACAAAATTAAGGTAGCATCTGTTAATTTGTGTTCATCTGTTAATTTGTTCAAATTGTGTTCACGGTTTATTTGTGTTCAAATTGATCAATACCGAAAATCGTTACTACCGTGTTTCTTATGCGATTTAGGAATTCATACAAGAATGAACATGGAAGATCAATAGTAAAAAAAAATTAATAATATGAATGTATATTTTTTTGGGATTTGATTGTTTGTAACCCCCCATTAATTGTTTGGAGGTTACAAATAAATTCAATTTACTAGAATACCCTTGTAAGGGTAAAATGAACAAGACATAAACCTATAAAAATAATGGAATTTGATTGATTGAGAGGGTTTTCAAAGTTAATACAAAAATGATGATTAACATTTGATCTTCCCCCTCTTTCTCTCTCTCTATATATATGTAAAGTGTAAATTTGTGACAGTCACCTGCCTTACCACCAATCACAAAATATCACCTTTTGTCTTGCAATAATGGTTTCAACTAATCTTATCCTTCTATTCATTATCGTAGATATGTCTTTGTTTTGGTTATACAGTTAAATATCTATGGCAAATTGCATATGCCTTTGTTTTGGTTCCTATTTTAAAGATGCTGTTTTTTAGATGTTTTGTAGTAGAAATTGAAAATGAAAATTTTGAAAGTACGTTTATTTCTGATGCAATATCTAATATGTGTGTCATGATCTCTAAATTTCAGGTCATGCATCCAGAAAACCAAGATATACAGGACCTTCCTGGGCTAGCCCCTCCTGCTACTAGTCGAAAACTCCTCTGGTTTCATACCATGTAAATTTGATCTCCATATATTGGTTCATTTCTCGTTACCACACTATTTATTCCCAATCCTGAGTATGGAAACCCTATCAAGTTATATAAGTGAATTTGTACCAATATTCGTTACAAACACTAGTGGCATACCACATTGGTGTTGTGATCGTCTTTGGATGTTGTATGTAATGTTCTTGTGCAACAGTTTGCATTTCCACATTCTTTGTTTGTGTATCAAATAACCTGTCAAATTATGTAAAGAGTAAACTACAAACTTGGTCCTTATGGTTTGTCAAAAATAATACTTTTCGTCACTATAGTTTTGAGATTTCAAGATGACCACCGTGTTCTGTAAAAATGTCCGGATTTGGTCTCTTCCTCTGAAGGTTGTTAAAAATTCCGTTAAGTGAGGACATTTTTGTCCTTTTATCTATTTTTGTCTTTTATCGAATCAAAGTTTGATTTGATCATTGTGGTTTTTGTTTGGGTAAAAGACAAAGAATTGATAAGAGAACAAAAATGCCCCTCATTTTTTAATTGTCGTTAGAGAGATGGACTAAATCCGGATGTTTTGTAAACCATAATAACTATCTTGTAATTTGAAAACCCTCGTCTTTTTACGAGTCCAGAAGGCCTCCTCACAGGGATCCTGAATAGGCTTCTTCTCGCTTAGCAAGTTGCTCGCCTTCCAGGGACATAGGGGATTTCCTACACGGATCAGGAGCCCAACTAACGCGTGAAACACTCTGCTTGAGGAGGATAAAAAAGTGTTGCTTTTGACAAACCACAAGAACCATATTTGTAGTTTATTCTTATGTAAATTACCATTTTACCCCTATATTTTGAAAATCCACATAAATCAAAATAAATTATCCAAATCATTGAAGAAGCACTTGGAGGCGATGCAAAATTCAGTCACTAGATGCTCAAAACCCCATACAAATTCCCACATAAGCAACAACGGATTTCGAATAAATTCAAGAAATACAATAACCAAAAGAAAACAAATCAAAAAAATAAAGCTTTTACAAAACTAATAACTCTGTATTTTAGTTTGTTTGTTAAAACGTTCTAACTACTTCATTATGAGATTGGTTGTTTTCCATTCCAATCGATTCGATTTATTACCATTTGTTAACGAGAATATCATAGATCTAAAATTTTTCCTTTTGGAAAATATAGGAGCGAAACAATCAACCTACTAATATTGGAATACCCTAAGATTCTTCATGGAGATTTCATAAATATTCCTTCCAAAATCGGAAACAATTGGAATAGTTTTTGAAATTGGATGCAATTACTAATCAAAGTTCTTTGTGTTTGCACCCTTCTTTAAAACTCCCAAAAAATGGACAAATTCCTTTTCATAGAAACACATACAAGATTCGGCACTACAAAAAGGATAATGCTAGCCCCACTATGTAAATAAGTGTTTTTGTTGTTGTGGAATAAGAAGTCTTCGTATCTTAATGCATATATTTACTTTATTCGGAGTTACTAAAGCGGGATCCACTTTTTGGGGAATATGAGTTGATTATGACTTTATTTACCTTCCACGTAACTTTAACCATGAATAATGTCAAATGGAGATCGAAAACAAGAAACCGAGAGGAGAGCACAAACTTGCAGTTTCAAGGAGGGCGTAGCAGCAACGAAAGAGGAGGAAGATAGAGTAACAAGAAGAGACAGGACGGTTTTTTTTTCGTACGATGACACCATTAGACCATACGAGTGAACGCTATAGGGGATTTTCATAACATAATGATAGGTTAGTTGATTTGTTGCTATTTTTCGACATCACTAGTTCAACTTTTCTTCTTGCCGTTTTCCTTCATTTTGTCACCAGCATGTAAGAAAAGGGAACTCGAAAAGTGAGAATTGGTTATTCACTAAAAGCGGGAGGCAAACTCACAAGATCTCAATTTAAACCATCTCAGTCATTTCTGACTTCTGTTATACTTTTGGTTTTATAACATTTTAGGGCACCCCTCAAAATTTAGCGGGTATATCTTTAAGACCCATATTGTTTTTTTTTTATTCTTCATTACAACGAGACTATTGGGTAGTAGCTCATGCACCCCTGCCCTATTAATAGGTTCATCCCCTATAGCAAGGTTTGATAGTCGGTGAGACTAGAAGGTTGATCGAGTAGCAAGGGTAAGGCTCGACATCAAGCAACAAGGGCAGTGTTAAGGTGTCGAGCAACGAGGAAGGTAGGAGCTCTTGAGAGAAAGGGTATGGTTAGAATAACAAAAACAAAATGGTAAAATTGCCGAACAAGTCAGGGTGTAAAAAACACCTTCACATAATTGAATGGATCATTTCCAATAGTTTTTATGCAAAATAGAAAAATAGAAGTCAAAATCACCAAAAAAGTCATATTCAGGGGTGTTTGTGATTGCTTATTTAAAACAACTTATACTTTTCTACAAAAACACTTATCAACTTATTATAAGTCAGAAAGGTATAACTTCTTCAAAAAATCCTTGTCACCGGTTTGACATCGACATAAACTGTTTATCCAAACACTCAAAAGTGCTTATTATCGGTGTCACATCGGAATAAGTCAATAAGTTATTTTTATAAACAATCTCAAACACCCTCCTAACTTCAACAATTTCTTTATTTTAAAATTTTTATCGTTATTTATAAAGTAAATTATAGACTTGGTCCCTATGATATGTTGATTTTATAGATTTGGTCCCTAGACTTAATTTATAACATGAAATACCTGGTGGTACACACTTTTCTACTATTTGGTCCTTACACCTAACTGCAGTTAATATTCTCCATTAAATTTGAGCATCAACAACTCTGATTCGCGCCTCCAGCTTCATCATCTGTTTTTCCAACCTCTCGGTTTCTCCTACTCTCAAGGCAGCGATTCATAGTCCAAGATGGTGTGATTTACAGGACTTAAATGCTCATCGCTCCTCTCATAGCTATCTGTTGAATCTCCGATTTCCCCATCTATATCCTTGTCTTTTCAAGGAAGATTCCATCTCTTGAGGTAAGGCTTTATCGATTCGAGTGAGATGCTTTGTTTTGTTGTGATAAGTATGATCAATTTGTAGGTAATGTTCGATTGATTCAATGTTGTATGTGAAAATATTCAATTGATTCAACGACCGAGATATGCATATCTTTTGTGTGGGTTCGTTTTGAAGATTGTTTAGGGAAGTTCTGTTTTATATGCTTTTTGTTTTGTATTCTCTTAGCTATATTCCGAATGTCCATTGAATCGATAGAGCGGCTTGGGAAGAATTATGATTGCTCTCTCGTTTTCTGTATGTTCATCGTGTAGTTGTATGTCAATGATTATACAGAAGGAGGGCGACATTTGGGCTGTTTAGAGTTTCTGTTTGTTGATTTTCATGTTGGTCTGTCTCATATTTGGTAAATCGCCATTATCTTAAATATCCTTTAAAATGGTGGAAGATAAATGAATAGAAGATCAAGCCTTAGAATTGAGTTCATCAAAATCAATAGAAAGGTAATAGTTAGATGATGCTACCATTGTAGAAAAAAATTCAAAATCAAGGAAATGTTGCCATTGTTCTTGATGCCTTGATGATTTCAAGCATTTAAAAAACAACAAAACACAGACAGCAATCATGTCAAGTTTAAGTTTGATGATACAATTCTTGGTAATGTACCTAAGTTCAAGTATTAGGTGAAATATATATGAGTTATTGGCAAGAATGGATAAATGAGCTATACTATTTGAAGGCAAGAAACCCTTGTATGTTTATTTTTCTTCTATTTTTATGGTGTTTCAGACCTCCAAAGTTTGGATGATCTCAAAAATATCAAAATTCTGTGTTTCTTCTTCATCTTAACCTTAGGTTACTTGTGTATTTTAGACTGTATTATATGATAATTGAGTTTGGAAAATCAATTGGGTATCGTAATAATTCTTAGCAGAAAAAAAAATGTTTTTTTAGAAATCTTATTGATATTGGAAGACCCAACGGGTTCTTCCAATGTATCATTTCTGGGTCCACCCGTAGGAACTATGAGATTACCCCAAGGATGCCTTTGGCATCCAGGGGTCATACATCGACCATAGAACTCTGTTCAATAAGTGGAACGCATTAGCTGTTCGCTGTCAGGTTGGGCAGTAAGGGTCGGAGAAGGGCAATCACTCATTCTTAAAACCAACGTTCTTAAGGCCAAAGAGTCAGCGAACAAGATATTGAGGAATCGTCCATTAGTAAAACCATAATTAAATTCCTCTTGATTTATTAGAACTAAAAGAATTCCATTTAAGCATAGGTGAAGGTGAGACAAGAAGAAGAAGAAGAAGAAGAAGATCCACCAGAGCTTCACATGAAGAATTTCTAGCCTCTCTCTTTATATCATCATGATCATCCATCTAATTCACCAGATTCTTGTTTCTTTTTCTTTTATTTTTCTGATCCACAACACCATAGAGGGCAGGCAGATGACCCTCAAACCATTCACTCCTAATCCTATCTTAACTCTTCCCTACCTATGGTTGCAGAACATAAAGTTGGTTACACCTGCACAGTGCACACCACCACTCATGAGGCTTTTTAAGTCTCATATCTCCACTTCAGACATGAATAAGATTTTATTGTCATCATCCAACCCTAGTTACTATGTTAGGCTTTTGCTAATTTTCTCAGACTATCTATATGTTGAACAACCTCAACACAAAAGTTGCACAAACCAACTTCAGTCCTGTTGCGACCGCGAGTTGTTTTATCAAGTCCATGCACTACCATCCAATCCAACTTCACTGTTTTTCTTCTTATTTCGCCAACTCATGGATCGGATGTTTACAAATGTGGATTAATTCTTCTACCCATATGATATCACTTTTGACAGAGAATGATGTAATGCTTGGAACCAGAAACGAAACAAAAGAAGATCATTCAGGTTTGAAGAATCATAATTCGCGTCAAAACAGGCATGTCAAGTGCAACAAGTCTTGTGAACTTGAGAAGATCAAAAAGCAGCTCATGGGAACAATGATTTTCATGTGAGGAACAAAATTTT